TGTTTTCAGCATATACCACCCTTTTGGCTATTAAAAAACTAATTATCAGAAGTCCTAAGCCAGATAAAAGCTGCAGATATTATGTCACATACCTGAGCACCAGGTTAGGGACTCAAAGCATAAGATATCTGCCCTCGGCTTACAATCTGCATGGGAGTCATTAAGTTACTAGAAACTGGTCTGAAATTACTGAATAGTAAGCCAAATAAAGAATCATGTAAATTCTAATGTAATAAAGCTAAGAAGCAAACAAAATTCCCACAAATCCAGAGTAAATCCTTGGCCAAGAAAACTTTCTGCCCATAACATAAATACTTATCCCAAGCTTATTAAATTAAGAAAAAAATAAGAGTTCACTTGGAGCCTGTGTCATTGTTTTTTATTTCATTTTCTTTTATATCCTCCTCATAGTGCCCAACACGCACACTTTATGTGGTAGATTTATAATCACACATTCAAACAAAAATGTGTGGAGTGCCCTCTCTGTGCCCGGTTCTGTTTGGGCACCAGGGAGGAACAGGGCAAACAAAATAAGACAATGTCTGTATTCTCGTAGGGTTCATATTCCAGCTGAGACTAAGAGTTTGCTAGGTGACTGAAATAATGCTGCCCCAGAACCTATTCTTAAATCCTTTTTCATGTAAAATCAGGCAGATAATATCACACTTTTACTCTTAACAAGTGTTAACCAAGTTTAACTAGTAACCATGTTTTTGAGATATGGGAATTTTGTTTTGTCTTTTGAAGGATTACTCTGTAAAGACAAAATTATGAAGTTTAAAGAATTAGGAGAAATGAAAGTAGAAGAGCTAACCAGAAAATCAGAATGCAGGACTGGACAGTTAATATGGGAAGCTCTTAAATTAGAATTTAAATTAACATTCTTTACTTTCAGCCATGTTTTAATTATGCCCATTTGTCAAAAAGCTAAACACCACAAAAGCTTAAATAACCATAATCTGCTCATATTATCATATAACTGGTGCTCATAATAATTGTCTTAATGCACTGTAAGACTGAAGTAACCTCTGAATAATCAAAGAAAAAATGTCCTATATGTCCTGAGTTTTAAAAATTATATTGCATTTTTATTCCGTGAAAATTTACAATCCACGTAAAATATGTATGACTCTCCATTAACCTGAATATTAAATTAAATTTTCCATTCCTTAATCATTTTACCAACACTTACTTTGCCTTCCCATCTCTTCCCAATACATATTCACACACGCAATCATACACACACTCATACACACAAACACACACACACACACACACCACCCACTCTCAAGCCACACCCACACAGGTCACTTTGCTTTTTTCATGGTTAAGACTGACTTCATTTAAAAAAAATAAAGGTAAAAGGTAATGAGATCCTTTCAAATATTTTAATAGAACAAGGCTTTTGATAAAAGCACTGAAGTTTTACCAGACATTAGTAGGGAAACTTGCATTTGCTGTGTTCATTCACAGTATCATATTTAAATAATGTATAATAGAAGAAGAGTTTTAAAGACTTCTAGAAGAAGAAGGTATGCTATACTTACTTAAATAACTATCACTTGGTTCTTAAAACATCAAGGGAATTCATTAAAATCTTTATCATCAAGATACTGCTGTCATTAATAGCAAAATATTTCTTAGCCTGACTTTATAAATCTTTAAGTCTGCACCCCTCACTTATTAATCCCTTGAGTCTATGACACTGATGTTCCTCCTTCTCAGTTTTTCTGTTTCTGATTCTTCCATGTACCTTCCTGTTTCTTTTTTTTTTTTTTTAATTTTTTTTTCAACGTTTATTTATTTTTGGGACAGAGAGAGACAGAGCATGAACGGGGGAGGGGCAGAGAGAGAGGGAGACACAGAATCGGAAACAGGCTCCAGGCTCTGAGCCATCAGCCCAGAGCCCGACGCGGGGCTCGAACTCACGGACCGCGAGATCGTGACCTGGCTGAAGTCGGACGCTTAACCAACTGCGCCACCCAGGCGCCCCCTTCCTGTTTCTTAAATGCAGGCATTCCCTTCATTTTTCAGTTTTCCGAAAGGAAGGAGAATGGGCATGTGGGTTGTTTTGTTTGTTTGTTTGTTTGTTTGTTTGTTTTTGGTTTCTTGTTTTTTTGATCTATTTACCTCAACCTTCTCTCTCAACAATATATTCCTTGGCAATGTCGCCCAACAGTTACCCTAGCTCTACCATCATCTCTGTGTACTTCCTAAATTTGGGCTCTTCACTTCCAACCACATATATGACAACAATACTCGAATGTTCCACCAGCATTTCACATTCAATATGTCTGAAATTAACTCAGAATCTTCCCTACCAAACCAATGCTCTCTTTTTTAACTTATGCTCTCCCAGTTAATGGTGTCTCCTCCCAGCTCCCCAAGCTCCAGACCTTAGATTACTTTGCAATCTCCTTTGCTTCCCTTTATTTAATCACTTGATTAATATATATATATATGGCTTCTACTTCCTCTTAACAATCAGATCCACCCCTTTGTTTCTGTTCATTCCACACCCTCCGCTTATACCATCAGGCTTTCCCTACATTGATGCAACTACCTGCACACAGGTCCTATCTTTTGATTTTTCATTTCTTGCAAGATCTAGCACTATGACTCCTACAGAGTAGAACCTCAACAAATATTTGTTAAAAGAATTCAATAAAGGAATACATTTTCAGAAAGAAGGGAATGGTCAGCATAAAGGTCAGAGAAGGTAAATCACTAGATTTTTAAAAGCCTGGATCTTAAATTAAAGAGAAGGTCTTAGAGATGCTAGCCTTAGAATTAAAAATGAATTATATTAACACTTTGAAACCTGTTTTGTGACAGAGTAGAGAGAAAAATCTAACAAATGAACTTTTTAGCATTTTGGAAAGGAACATGCCAGATTCTTAATCTTTATAAAACTCATTAAAATTCTGAAGAAATCTCACTGTTTGAGGTGTTCACCATTACAGTGATTCCTAACTCCCGAGGCACGATATTTAAAATCTGGTGGCAGTTTTGGGGTCTAGAGTATTCTTTCACGATGTTGTTCCCCAAGTAGGTGGAGCACAGAGCCCTTGAAACCCTGTTACTTAGATGTCTCTATGAAAAAGGTCAATTTTTGCCACAGACTAGGAGGTGAAACCCATTATCAAAAGTAAATACATAATCTCCCTTTCTGTTGGTCACTTTTTCCAGGTTAGTGAAATTTTTAAATAAGTTCTTAGAAAATGTTTTTATGTAAGTCCCTAATGGGAGCCTTTCTTATCAAAATAACTTCCAGAACATTTATAAAAAGTCTCTTTTTCATGCATAGTTTTAGATTTTGGTATGAATTGAGAGTACCAGAGATACATGTTTTTGAAGTTTTAAAGAAAAGCTTTCAGTGGGAAGGGCAGCACTTTAAATGAATGATTAAAAAATCTTTTCTTAGAACATTTTATCCTAGCCTAACTTCTCTGCATTTGTCAAGGATTGGTTACTCCCTGACACACTTTTTTACATAAACAATGCGTGGAACAAAAATACCATATTTGCCCATCATGAGATGTGCATCACTTGGAAAGATCTGATGTGTCTGTCTAATTTTGAGAAGATAATTGGTGCTTTAAATAAAATTGGGTGTATTTATTATAAGAACGAAATTAAGCAAATTACATTGGTCTTCCTAATGCACTGATCAATTAGAGTTAATGTAATATGCCAAGAACTTGAAAACCTTTAGACTCCTTCAAACCCAGGTGTATAATATTTCGCTATGGTTTGTTCTGTCCCTTTACTCCTAACGTTACAATTTTTCTAGGTTTGGTGATGTAAGAAACAAAAACAAAATTAGCTAAGAACAAGTAAGGTTATAATCTGACCCATTTGAAGCAACAGCTTTACATTTAAGAATTTATAGAGGATATGAAATTTTGTCAGCTGTTAAATACATTTTTAAAAATTCCTATTGATTGAAGATGCAGACTTCCATGTTTTCTCCAGTGGAGTTAATGAACTGAATGGAAAATATCTCATTAATATCTTGAGCCCCCTTGTGAGGCAAGAAAATGACACTCTCATCTAACAGCTGGAAAAGCTGAAGAACTAGTGGATGAAACAGCTCTCAATTGCAAAGGAAAATAATAGTTCTAATACCATACCCTGAGATGTAGATATGAAAGAATATTGCATACACACATACTCCCTCTCTTATTTTTAAGGAATCAATACCTGCATCTTAAAGTCTGAAGATAGTTAAACCCTTGGATCTTGGCCCTATACCTTTTGGCAGAGTAAATTATTGCCTCATGGCCTGGCAGTGCAGTTGCCCTTTTAATTTACTTTTAAATAGCTTTTCCCTAATCCATAACTAAGATCTGGCCAATCATGATTCTTCAGTAAACTTTTTAAAAATATCTTATTCTAAAGATATTTTAACTGTAAAATTTCAGGAATTAATAACTCTTTGCAAGGTACATGGAGACACTAATCGGGAAGTAAAACAGAACAAATTTGCTTTGATTTGTAGTTTCACAAAAATGAATTTGACATTTCACTTAAAATTTGCAAACCATCATATAGTTTTGCACTCTTCTGAATTTATTTGTTTTGCAAAAAAGTGGAATGTTTCACTTGAATGGAAATGCCCTTAAGTTACTTCCAGTATTGCTGTAGGATTGATTTTTCTAGGTTAAGGGAATGCAAAAGTTAGGTGTTTTATATTCCCCTTTTTTTTTTTTTATCTTTTTAAACAAATCATTATCTTTTTTTTCTTAAATGGGCTTAGGACATCCCCAAACAAATCAGGAAAATGTAACATCATTTCACTATTACCAACATAGGGCTTTGTGTAATGACTGTGACACCATGACAGTGAAGTATTCATTTTTAAGCTTTAAACAGAGAAGGCTTTACCTCAGTGTGTCCAATAGAAATACAATATGTAAATTAACCCATATTATCTGTATGCTGATTGGCTTGAGTTCCCCCGAATGTCACAATCTCACCACCCAGCAATGAGGTATTTTACTGCTGTCTGGAGATCAAATTATTACTGTAGAGAAGGTCTTTATTTTTCTGTTTCATTAACAGATTATTATAAAGCAATAAGCAAGCGGGAGGAGAAGCAGACGTTTCACACTGGGAATTGATGAAAGCATATCTGTTCGTTTTTTGGAGGTGGGGAGTTGTTTAAAATCTTATAACACCCCCACAAACAAAACTCTTCGGAAATGGTAAAATAAGGAAATGCATGATTCCAGAGACATCCCTAAGCACTCAGTTGTCAGGCTATGTGGTGCCTTGTGATATCATCGGACCTTTTGGATGGGTGTAAGTTTTATGAATTCGTTATATTCCTAGTATTTTTCTTCTGTAAAAACAAAGGGGGAGGGAAAGGAAACTCACACACACAACTGCTTTGACATTACCAATGTATTGGTCAGCAGTACTTGCAAGAAAGAAAAAGAAAGGCTGTTGCTTGGTGGGGTGGAATGCAAGGAATAGTCACTTAAAATTTTTGTAAACCTGATTCTATCATCATATTCGTTATGGTAAAATGCATGTAAATCATTTTGCAGTTGTCCTCTGAACTTAGCTTCTCCCTACTTAACACATATTTGCGTGCATTTGAGAATAGAGGATGACTAACAAAGACAGGGCTGCCCCTAACCTGCTTTCTTCCCTCCTTCCCCATTGACAAGATTTTTCTTGACTGCGCTTTTAAAAATATATATATTTAATTTCTATTTTTTCTTTCTTTCTTTCTTTTTTTCTCCCAGCTAACCTGCAAATGCAAAGGTCAGCTGAGGAAATCATTAAAGAGGAATTCTAAAAGAAGCTTCCAAAGCGTTGGACCACCCTAAAAGAGAAAGGAAGGAAATGTTCGGGGAAGGCTAGGGTTCCGGGTAGCTGAAGAAGGGGGCGAGCGCCCCCGACACCGTGGCTTCTCCCGTCGCTGCCCTAAGGGAACAGGGTGGGCCTGAGGTCCTGAACAAGCCTTTCCAAGCCCCCACTTCAAATGTGGGGAGGGAAAAGTTCAGAAGCAGCCACAAGGGGACAAAAGCCTCATTTTGCCAGTTCAACAGGACAGGACATCCAATAAACAGGGCCAGCTCTGGAAACGGGTCGAGGCTCCCGTTAGCTCCACAGAGCCCGAAGCAGCCCCTGCCGCCGCCCTCGCCGCCCTCGCCGCCGCCGCCGCCGCCGCCGCCGCCGCGGCCCCTGCGTTACTGGGGGAGACGGTGCCGCTGCGACAGGGGAGGACGCGGCTGGAGCTCAAGGAGGCTCCAGCGCGCAGGCGCCGCCGAGCCCTGCCTGGATGCTCAGTCAAGGCACTAAGGCAAAAAAAAAATCAGCAATTTATAGAAAGAAGAAGCTATAGTCTGTCGGGATATCCAACACCAACAGGTAGGAGGATATACTCTCGGTTAAGTTTTGGGGGAGGGGGGCGCACAGTGTTGATGAAACTGCAGGTTCACCGGCACCGAGCCCTCCCTGAGGTTTTTTGTTTTTTGTTTTTTTGACAATAAACTGCATAATGGAAGTACATTCAGACAATGCATCTTCAGTAGGGCTTATTGAGAGCTCCATTTCTGGAAAGCGTTGCAAGACTGAGGAATATCAGACTGCGAATCACCGGGAACAGTTCCCTTGCAGCACAGAAGCAATCTCTCTCCCCATCTTCGCGTATGTAATGCATGTCTCTCTCCCCCTCCCCCTCCTCCACCCCACATTATAAATCCAGGGGTGGCGGATTTCAGGTTTCGTAATGTTGCATGATGTGATCGGTATTTACCCGGGGATGTACCGGTGGGGAAATTAAAATCATCGAACGCAGTTTTGCCTGGGCTTCCATCAGCATATTCCGGGCTAGTGAGAAGTGGCAAAGGGAACATGCTTCTTGGGAATAACAGAGGAAGCCGATTTTCCTGGTGTGGCTCTCAGGCACCTAGGAGACAATGTGCATTTTGTTTGAAAATGAAGCCACTTGCGATTTGCCACAAAGATTATCAGTGTAAATAGGAAAGGCTTAATTGCCCAAGAAATACAGGTTCATGTTAAATTCATTTGAATCCAGGCAGCCAAGGTTTACAAATGGAAGTGCATTATTCCTCTGGGTGTGTTTCCCTGGCCAATATTTACATTAACCATTTTTAATAATCATGTGGGTTTAAAAGAGAAAAGATTTACCAAAAATGGGGGGTAGGGTGTGGAGGAAAAGACAAAAGATTAAATCACATCATATCCTGGATAAGTTCCTGTTAATTTCGAAATCTAGTGTTGAAATTATGCTTTAAGATGAATCAACAAATACTCTTACAATGTGCAGCATGAATAGTGGCACTTGAGTTAAAAGACATATTTTGCAAGGGCTCTTTGGATCCATATCAGCAGAAAAGCTCCCTGTAAAACACTGACAGATACTAACAGAACTCAAATAAATGTAGGTATTCTCATCTCTGTCTCCTATTAGCAATCTTGTAGATTCCATTGCAACATTAGTGATTAATTCCTGGACTGGCATATTTTATGATTGTGGAACATTTTATTCCTTCTGTCTTAAAGGTACCCAATCAAATTTATGTTCTCCAAAATGGGGACATTTTTAAATTCATCTAGTTCAGAAAACTAAACCAGCCAATTCTCTGAAATCTCAAGCAAAAATAGTTACTAAAGCAAATAATATTATTCAAAATTAAAACTTTATTTGCTTCCCCATAAATGAACAGCTTTGTGTTAGCACTGCCTGACATCATTACTTGTTAACTTAAGAACTGATAGCTCATTTTTTTTCCAGATATTCTGATGGCAAATCAAATGGAAGAAAAGAGGAAGCATGACTGCAGATCGCATCAATTCTCTTTGTGGATTACATTTTCAGTAAAATGTATGGATCTATCTTTTCCTTGTTCTTATATCTAGATCATGAGACTTGACTGAGGCTGTATCTTTATCCTCCATCCATCTATGGCGAACTATAGCCATGCAGCTGACAACATTTTGCAAAATCTCTCTCCTCTAACAGCCTTTCTGAAACTGACTTCCTTGGGTTTCATAATAGGAGTCAGCGTGGTGGGCAACCTTCTGATCTCCATTTTGCTAGTGAAAGATAAGACCTTGCATAGAGCACCTTACTACTTCCTGTTGGATCTTTGTTGTTCAGATATCCTCAGATCTGCAATTTGTTTCCCATTTGTATTCAACTCAGTCAAAAATGGCTCTACCTGGACTTATGGGACTCTGACTTGCAAAGTGATTGCCTTTCTGGGGGTTTTGTCCTGTTTCCACACTGCTTTCATGCTCTTCTGCATCAGCGTCACCAGATACTTAGCTATCGCCCATCACCGCTTCTATACAAAGAGGCTGACCTTTTGGACGTGTCTGGCTGTGATCTGCATGGTGTGGACTCTGTCTGTGGCCATGGCATTCCCCCCAGTTTTAGATGTGGGCACTTACTCATTCATTAGGGAGGAAGATCAATGTACCTTCCAACACCGCTCCTTCAGGGCTAATGATTCCTTAGGATTTATGCTGCTCCTTGCTCTCATCCTCCTAGCCACACAGCTTGTCTACCTCAAGCTGATATTTTTTGTCCACGACAGAAGGAAAATGAAGCCAGTCCAGTTTGTAGCAGCAGTCAGCCAGAACTGGACTTTTCATGGCCCTGGAGCCAGTGGCCAGGCAGCTGCCAATTGGCTAGCAGGATTTGGAAGGGGTCCCACACCACCCACCTTGCTGGGCATCAGGCAAAATGCAAACACCACGGGCAGAAGAAGGCTCTTGGTCTTAGATGAGTTCAAAATGGAGAAAAGAATCAGCAGAATGTTCTATATAATGACTTTTCTCTTCCTAACCTTGTGGGGCCCATACCTGGTGGCCTGTTATTGGAGAGTTTTTGCAAGAGGGCCTGTAGTACCAGGGGGATTTCTAACAGCCGCTGTCTGGATGAGTTTTGCCCAAGCAGGAATCAATCCTTTTGTCTGCATTTTCTCCAACAGGGAGCTGAGGCGCTGTTTCAGCACAACCCTTCTTTACTGCAGAAAATCCAGGTTACCAAGGGAACCTTACTGTGTTATATGAAGGAGCATCTGGAAATCTTTAGCCTTGTGAAACACTAACCTTCTCTGCTAAGCAATTGTGGCCTGTAGCCATATCTTGAGAAGAAAATCAAGAAGGGGATCAGCAATTATAAGGATTTGGGCAACATTCTGCAGTCTTTGCAATAGTTCACCTATAATCCTATTTTAAATCTCAGAGTGATCCTGCTGACTGCCGGCGAAGGTTTGTAATTAAGAAAGGACTGAACCACTGCCCTAAGTTTCTTTACGTGGTTGAAAACTAGATAATGAAAGTAGCAGGTGCTAAGTATCAGTGCTAAATGCTGTGTATATCACTACTTATGAAAAAAAAACATCAAAAAAAAAAACCAATTAGCATTGGACATCTTAATAAATTAAGTTGACATGAGGTAAATGTGTTGATAAAAACTAATTTTAGAAGTTTGAAGACTTTAAAACATTTCATACTATTATTGTTTTGCAAAGACTAAAATATTTGGGGACTTAAAGTACTGTAATCCACTAAAGACGTGCCATGAATTATTGGATTATCACACTTTTAAAAATTCGCCTTGTAAGTTCCAAAGCAGTATATTGGTTCCAATTAGAGTTTACTCTTTTTTTTTTTGTATTAATACATTACTATTTCTAAATGCCACTTTCCTTACCTACTAGTGAAATTGCTAGCATTGAACTGTACTATGTGGTTTTGGTTGATTTGGTATAAAGTTTTTCCAATTCATTTATATTTTACAAATGCTAGATATTGGTCTGGGAGGCAACATTAATGGTACCAACTGGTCACAACTGAACAGTTTTAATAATGCAGAATAAACACATGTTGCCTTAAAGGGTTATCTAGTATCTTTCATCTTATTTAGCATTGGAGCAAATAGTCAAGGGAAATCGAATTAGTAACTGGTCATGGTCATGCAACTGGAAGTGCATGGACGATCATTTAATACTCTTTTTCCTTTCTCCTCACATGGTTTGAAAATTAAGGTGCACATCACTGGGATAATGAGATTTTCTTCCGAGGTGTGCTACCCATTCTAGTGTGTTCTAAGAAGCGGGCAGTTGATGTATGTTTATATTTTGAGTCAGCTGTCAAGGGGAGACCACAGCCTTAGTATGACATCCTGCACAATTTGTGAAGCGTTTATTCTACTGAAGGCACAGTCTTGTTTCTACTTTCTGCACATTCAGTGTATTGGTCGTTTAAATTATTTCAGTTTTAACTTGTGAAAGCTTATAATATGATTTCTGGTATTTTAGAAATACATTAGAGTCTGTGAGTCTCATTCTTTAAGATACAGATGTGTGAATTTCAATATAAAGTTGCATTTGCCAAAATTTACCCGTGTAGCCTGTTACTTTCCTTGGGATAAATTTTACATTTTTGGCAATTAACAATTTCTTTTGACCTGGGAGGCAAGCACAAACTAGGAAGGCTAGCTTTATTATGGTTTTGCTTTTTGATTTTTGTAGCTATTATATTTTTGAACTGGAAATGCATGAGTAATAGGGAGCATAAAGCTGATAAACTGACAAATAGTATTATCTACAAAAGCATTATTTGATAGTTTATCGTGATTACCCTCTATTTATTCTCTTATAAGGCAGTAATATTTAGAAATATATACCTGCTTAGTTGATTGGTTCATAATTTGAATATAAAAATATCACATTTTAATTTGGATCATAGGAGAAATTTTGGGTTCTAAATATATAACATCTAAGAAGAATAGCTTACAATAACATTATGACAAAACCAGAAAACTTACTGTTTTTGTTTTCCATTGTTTTCATTTGTTTGTTTTTGTTTTAGTTTTTGCCTTTTGGTACTTGAAAAATAAGATTAGGAATCTAATGGAATAGAATTCTTTATTGCTACAGTACTTCTGTAAAGAGAATATCAATATAAATATAAATAAGGAAAAATAAATCACTGGAATGTCTCAATGATATATGCAACTATTCAGTTTTGCTCATGTAAGGACAGCTCAAGCCATGATTTAGCAAGCACTGTGTTTGACCTCATTTTACTTTATACCAAAGTTGGTCAGATCTGAGACAAAGTTTAATGTACAACAGTGAGTTGAATCTAGCAATAAAGGCCCTCGTTGGTACTAAAATCATTATCCAAAATACAGTAAAGGAATGTTATCAAAAGATATTCTGATAACATTATGTTTCCAACTCAAAATAATTTATAGTAGAAGCATAATTACAATGATTGTATTTATAGAGAACTTTGCTTACGGGATCAGATATCACCAGCAATCAGTAAAACAGTCAGCAATTGTCCTGCAGCCAGAGATCAGGTTTTATTACTACTTGCCTCCATAACATAGACAAGAAAACTGAGGCATATATTAAAGGTAGGGGATTGAAGAGTCAAGAGCAAGAGCCAAGTGAGATTGCCTGACTCCACCTAGATATTTGGAATAACAGATTCCAACCCCTTTGGTAAGTGATCAGTGAATAGTACAGAACCATAGTGACTTTCATTTGAGCCTACTTTTGATAACTTGGCATTTCAAGTCAAGGGGCAAGCAGTAGGTGAGATACATCCCCAGTTAATCAAGGCCATTCGTAAGTCAATGAGTAATGGCAGCAGTCATATAAAAAGTCTGCTTCCGTAGTATCTTAATGACCAAATCACATTATCTATTTTGGCACCCATTCCAATATTCAATACTTAAAAATAGTTGGTAACTAATCCAACTTGAAAATATTACTAATCTTCAACCCCTAAAAATATTCTCACTTGGGGAGTTCAACTTCCCTGTGAGAAAGGCTCATTATCAATAATAATGTGTTCCTCTTGGACTAATCACGTCTGAGCTGACAGTCTTTAAATTGTTTTCCTTAATAGTGGTGATATGTTTGCATGAATGTGTCTATACTACCTCATCTGGTTCCTTTGGTGCACAGTGGATTTACTTGTGAGAAGCCTGGTTGGAACCAGGCATTCAGTCTGTGACTGTGGAATCCTATGCAGATATTAACTGAGACAGAAGGAGGTGAGTAACTTGCCCAGTTTTCCACAGAGGCCCCATTTAAATAACATAAAATTAACCAAAGTAATTAGAAAAAAATTATTTGTAGGACAGCCTATTGACTGAATCACCTTCAAGTGTTAGCTGGATGGATTTCAACACCAGCATTTTTCACAGGTTAGCTGATTTGTCATTGCTCACACACGGATATGGCTACTTATCCATTTACCTCTACTTCCATGAATGCTACCTGAATTGCTTATTAATTTATTTATTCATTCAACAAATATGTATTGGACACTGGGCGTGGTGCTGGGAGCACAGTGGAAAACAAGACAGAACAGTCTCTCATGAAGATTTCTTAGTCTAGTGGAAACAATTAAACATGTAGTACCAACAAGTTACAAGTGTTACGACAGTAATCATTTCTAAGATGGACTTGGTATTAATGGCCATTAATAGACTGTTCTCCATTTTTCCTTCAGTGCCTTACCTCCTATCTTTTCCCAGTATTCCTTGGGATCTTTTTATATATCATATTCCCTCTATTCAGAGGGAACCTCCTGTTCTGCTCACACTTCATTTAGATGAACCACCATGTTACTTTGGGAACCTGAGTTCCCACGTTTTTAATGCCAAATACACAAAATAACGGCAAAACCTGAGTGTTAAAGTTACTCCTATGTCCTGACTGTCCACTTCCACAAGTGAGATATTTCAGTTCCTTCAAGAAACATGTAAGTGTCTTTTCTTACATGTTCATACCTTCCCACAAGGTAGCTATGAGGATGCCTGGGTAAAGTGTCATCAAAGAAGGCGCTAAGAAGCCAATTCCTGGGGCTCCCCCATGGTGCTCAAGCAACGATGGGAATAACCTGTGAAACAGGGTATATATTCTTTATTGTTAAAGCATGCCACTGCGAAGTTTCTAATGCTCCTTATTGTAGATACCATAAAACTCCCTAACCCCATAATCTGAAAAGTTTGTTTGGCCTCCAGAAGTTATTTCTATTGCAAATACAATTAAACATAATTACAATTATAGAGACCTATTTCTTTTCATCTAAGCCATGTAATAGTGAGTTGTGTTGTTATGAGGATTACTGTAGGACAGTTTGTAAATAGAACCAAAACTTCTTCTGTGTATTCACCATTAGATAAATTTACTTTGTTCCAGTTTTTTTTTTTTTTTACTCTACAGTGTTATTTAAAGAAAAACACACACACACACACAAACAGTTTATATGAATTCCATATTTAAAAAGAAAGGAAAGAAAAGAAGATGATAAATGGTAATGTTTCAAATACTGGTTAAACACATTAATTAAGGTAGATGGTTGCCACAATTGTGGGTTGTTTGCAATTCCAAAGTCTTGTGAGTTTGTTTTTCTATGTAAAAATACATCATTTTCATGTTTGTTAATATTATCTTCTAAATGTTTTGAATGGAAATTGCAGGGTCTACCAGGATAATTGTTTATCGCTGACTTTTTTATTGTTGTTATCAAATCTGGGCATGCTAGTGTTCTGTAACTTCCCCCAATTCCCTCAGAAACTCTTTTTTAAACCATATTAAAATGATAGAATTGCTTAATTTTGAGGCACAGGTTCATAATTAGCCTAAATAGTGGTTAAAATGAAGATATTATTTGTAGATGACTGGGATTATTTTTGCCATAAGTCAAACAGTCAAATAAGTTAAAGGTTTATTGAGAACTCGGGCAACAGAGGAAGAATGGTTTTTTGTTTTTATTTATTTATGTATTTTGGCTAACTGTTTACCTTACACTGCAATGTAACAGGTTCTAAAAAATGTATTAAGACCAAGAGGCTTTAACTTTATAAAAGGCCTTATTATATAAATAAGGCCTAGTTTTTAAAATGGAGAAGGAGCTTTTATATCATCTCCTTTCTCCAAAGGGATGATGTCCATTAGCTGCTCAAACCTTTTGGGTTAAAAGGCTTTTAAGCCAGTTTTCCTCCCACCAGATCATGAAGTTAATACAAGGGCTGGAGTCCTATAAAAGCCCCGGAAGAAAGCCAAGAGAATATGTTTTCCTCTCAGCAATTGTAGAAAAAGGCCTCAAAAAAAGCTACAGGTGGTTTGGGGCTTGGAATTACTCACACTTGACATTCACAACCAGCCCATAATTCCTTCTGATGCCACTGGACAACATTACCCTCTGAAAGACATAAGTTTTTCAAGGTTAACTTGAAGTGGAAAGCAGTTCTTTTTTTTTTTCCTCTGTTTGCTTGGAAAATAATAGATTCTTGACACAAAAATTAAAATTTATGCTGTAATGCACGTCTTGGTTTATGGGGTTTTGAATAGACAATAAAATAACATTTAACTATACAGGTTTTCAGGATTATGGGATGAGGAAGTATTATAATACTTTGAAAAATCTATTATAATATTAAAAAACTTTAAAGCTGAATTGACAGTCAAGCTTTAACTAGCTAAAGTTAATTAGTTGTTTCTTCTCATAGCTTTAAGAAAGTAAAAATCTGACTAGATGAAAGAAGAGCTTGTCTGTTTCTCCTCCATCAGAAAAAAAAAAAAAATGTTGAATTGGGAGAATGCATTTTCTCCAGGGGAAAAAAGAATTTGGGTCATTTTTGGTAAGCATTTTTCTTAAACATAATTCAACAGTCATTTATTGTGTACCTACTGCATGTACAAGCCTGGGCAAGTTACTTAACTTTTTTTTTTTTCAACGTTTATTTATTTTTGGGACAGAGAGAGACAGAGCATGAACGGGGGAGGGGCAGAGAGAGAGGGAGACACAGAATCGGAAACAGGCTCCAGGCTCTGAGCCATCAGCCCAGAGCCCGACGCGGGGCTCGAACTCATGGACCGCGAGATCGTGACCTGGCTGAAGTCGGACGCTTAACCGACTGCGCCACCCAGGCGCCCCAAACTTTTCTATGCCTTATCAAGAAAAAGGAGATGATAGTACAAACGTAGTGGAGTTATTGAGAGGATCCAGGCAGTCCACCCTTGTGAAGCCCTTAGGAGAGAGTCTGGCATCTTAAATAAATTTTACTTTTTGCTGGCTCTCGCATAATTCACCATCTAGCAGCAGAGACACAAACAAATTATGAGACAATGTGATAAGTGCTGTGAGGGAGGCATGTGAGGTAAGCGTTAAAGAAACACAGACAAACAATTATCTCTGTGAAGATGGCAGAAGGAAGGTGAGACAGAAAAGGTGGCAAGTGAACTCAGTCTTGAATGATCATTTTAATTTCATCTGCTCGATAAAGTTGGAAGAGCCATTTCAGACAAAGGAAATAATAAAATGAGCAAAAGGCAAAGAGAATCCTACAGCTCGTAATGTGTTCAACATAGGAATTCACTAATCAGAGAAATTTAATGTTGCGGCTGGAGCTTAGGTCCCTGGAAGGGGAAGGGCAATGTGGTGTAGAGGTTAAAAAAAGCACAAGACTTGAAAGTTTAAGTCGTTATTCTGTGCTTTACTAGCTTTCTGATTCTGAACAAGTTAATTAAACTTGGAGAATCTCAACTCGCTTATCCGTCATGGCAGGGGTAGGGATGCTAAGTGATAGCAACCATTATTTTTAAAGAGTTGCTTGAAGATTAAATGAGATAATATAATAAAAACAGATAAAATAATAATTTATTAACTACTATGTTCCAAAGACAGTTCTAAACACTTTGCATATACTAACTCATTTGGTTATCACAATGAGTAGGTGCTATTATTATCCATAATTTACAGATGAAGAAACTGAAGCCCAGAGAAGTAACTTACACAAATTAGTAATTGGCAAACATGGATGTAAAGCACTTAGCACAGTACCCAGTTCAGAGTGAACATTCAATAAATGTTAGCTATTGTTACTGCTGCTGCTGCTACTGTTGATTTTCACATAATAACTAGGAAATTAGAGACTGACTAATGGGAGCTGAAATGACCACAGAAACAGAGCTGCAGCCTCAGACCTTGGCTTCACCTTGCTCTTCTCCTCACTTTCCCACCGAGAATCTAAAGGAAGCAAAGAACAGTAGTTGATTGCTTTCACAGAGGATCATATTACTGTGGAAACAGGAGAATCCATCTAATCTTTCAAATGACTTTTTAGAAGGACATTGCTCAAATTACATCACTCAGATTTTCTTTTTTTTTTTTTTAATTTTTTTTTTCCAACGTTTATTTATTTTTGGGACAGAGAGAGACAGAGCATGAACGGGGCAGGGGCAGAGAGAGAGGGAGACACAGAATTGGAAACAGGCTCCAGGCTCTGAGCTGTCAGCCCAGAACCTGACGCGGGGCTCAAACTCACGGACCGCAAGATCGTGACCTGGCTGAAGTCGGACGCTCAACCGACTGCGCCACCCAGGCGCCCCTGACATCACTCAGATTTTCAACGTGGGCTGCTCCCACTGCATGGAGAGTATCTTTTAGATCTGGCTCATATTCTTCAGTCCTAACTCAGTTTTGTCCCAGTCTATGTAAGTGGATGATTACCACAGTCTGGGGAAAATCCTTTCATGGAGTCTCCCTTTGTCAAGTTTCCCTTTAAAGATTACCTTTCAAGATCACCATTCCCAACCATTTTCCAATGACTGACATTTACTTCCCTGCTCTGAAATCTTTCCAGAGACTTCCATAGCCTCTGCCTTCATAACTATACATAGTAAAGGGATAATTAATGGAGAATAATCCAATGGCAGTACTACCCCATGGATCCTGATTGCTTGGTATTCATCCATCCACAGGATCCCCACAATTTTCTGACTATTGACTCATAGTTGTTTACACACCTGGCCATCCTTCACTGCATTTTTTAAAGCTATTATTTTGCCCATTTGAGCCCCTCTACATTCATCCCAACTGAGCTTCAAATCTTTTCATTCGACCTCTTACTGTACCAGTAATTGTACTGTAATTGTACCAGTGATCTCATCTACAAAAGTGACAGCTGCTGCCATCCCTCCACTGAGTTTGGTGCTGTTTGTGGTCTCAGTAAACGTAGCTTTTATTTCATTATCCTGTGCAACATGAAAAAGGGTGCTAGCCTGGGTGTCAGGAGCTGAGCTGTTGACCAGCTACAGGCTGTTGTCAATTCACTTGACCTCTTAGCTCCCTCAACTGTATAATGAAGGGGTTGATCTCTCAAATTCCTCCAGCTTGGAAAAATCTATGGTTTGTTCATCTGGGTCACTGATATCCTAAGGACATTAATGACATGTTATTTCTAACAAACATAACTTTCTCACGGCTCACTCTGGTCCACGGAGAGTCACTTTCTATGTACAATATTTCAATTAACTAGGTTCTTACCTAAGCAGCTGAAGGCCCAACCTGATCCCAGGTTGTTGACACAACACTAGAGAATATCTATAGCATATTAAAATAGTCTTCCACTGGGCATCTGCTTTATTCACATGCTAACTTTGTAATAGCACTTTTAATTTTAATCAGACAGACTTGATGCTTTGCTTCCATTTCAAATGACCAAATTATGGATATTTGTGCCCTGCTTTTCCTTTTTATGTTCTATTCTGAATTATAAATAATTCATGGATTTCTTTTAGTGGGCACCAAATTTATTTCAAGTTCCTGTTGCAAATATATGAAACATAAAATTTAGGAAGATATTTTAGTACCTCCACAGTTTGCAATTACAGAATGATCCATCTTTGAATAGATATTTAATAAGCACCTACTGTGTACGAGGAGCTGTACAGGGTACTCAATAAATATTTTAATTGAGTCTGGCTTTGGTTGAGGTTTTAGTCTTAAAAGACTTGGAAAATATACACAAATCTAGTTTTCTTTTTTGCCATTGTTTTTGCTATGCCTTACATACATAAAGACATTGTTTTGTAAATTCCTCCCAGTACAAAAGTGTTTTCCTATTATTTTTAATCACCCCCTTGGCTTAGATTTAAATGGCTAAATTAATGGTGCATTTTTTATTTACAATTTCTAATTTGCAGCAACAAAACTATATAGTTACCATAAAACACCCTTTTAAAATGTATTTTGAGTCTGGTGGCTTGTTGACTTTTAAGAGAATGAACTGGAAAAAATAATATTTTTATCAAGGTAGTAACTTTTTAGCTACTAATAAGGAATTTGGTAGATACCGTGGGGAAAATATTCATGTATCCTAGAATTCATAATTCAAGGAAACAAATGTTCCCATGTTTACGTGGCCCTGATACACCCACAGTGCGTGGGGAATTCTGTACAATTATTGCATCAATGCTTTTAGATATGATGCCACTCAGTTCCCTGATGCAGAAAGAAGCCATGTTCTTCTCAGAAGTGCTATTATTTGTTATGCCTGGAAGGTCTGGAGCATTTTCTGCAGTGCCAGAGCTTTAGTGCTTTGCATTTCCATCACGGGCATGAGAAAATGTCATTTTCAAGAAGAAAAAAATGAGAGAGAAAGACACGTTCTAGTGTATTGAGTTTTGCTGAAGAATAGTTGCTCTCTGTTGTAATTTTCAGACAAACTTAAATTGTATGTACGTGATAAAACATCCTCATAAATATTCAACTAAGAACTATTCTATTCTATTCTAGATGTTTCTGTATAGTAGAAGACTGTTAAAGACAT